CCTCCCCCTCCCCCCCATCAAACGGAAAAGCTCGTAGGCCCGGTCTCCACGTCCGCCTGCCGCGGGCGGAGCCGCCCCCGCTCTGCCTCCGCCGGCCCCCGCGCCGCCCTCCGCCGAGGAAGACAAGAGGCACCCCCTTGCGTCGCTGCCCCGATGCGCAACACGCAGCACGTACCGTACTCCAGATTTCGTAATAAAGGGAGGGGGGTCTCATATCGGGGGGGGGTCTCCTCCAGGCTATCTTGGAGGGCCTGGGTGGTCTGGGACGGTGTTTGGAGGGTTCTCTCCACGGGGGAGGTCTGAAATGGCCTGTCTTGGAGGGTCCAGACCCCCTCCCTTTTATTACGAAATCTGGAGTACCGTATCGATACGGAACTCAACACGTAGGCTGAAAACGTGGGTCCGACGCGATATATTCGCCAAAACGTGGTCCAATACTCCAGATTTCGTAATAAAAGGGAGGGGGTCTGGTCCCTCCCAGACACGCCATTTCCAGACCTCCCCCGTGGGAGAACCCTGCAAAACATCGTCCCAGAACCCCCAGGCCTCCAAGATAGCGTGGAAAAGAACCCAAACCCCCGAAATGAGACCCCCCTCCCTTTATTACGAAATCTGGAGTACCGTATCGATACGGAACTCAACACGTAGGCTGAAAACGTGGGTCCGACGCGATACATTCGCCAAAACGTGGTCCAATGCGCGGAGCCAGCACGCAACGTGTTGACACGGACGTCCTGAACACGGGACGTGTTGCGCTTCAAAACGTGCGCATCGGGGCAACTAAGGAGGCAACAACTCCTCGACCCCTCGAAGTCGGAGCTCGTTCCGGAACGCCCCGGCTGGGAGGCCGCCGAGAGAAGGCCAACGCAATCGGCCAGCGGGGAGCCCAGACCAAGGGCCCTCGACTAAGGCGAAGCCAGGACGAGGGATAAAATCGTGTGAGGATCAATGAGAACCTCTGAGATCCGGCGGCTCTAATAAAGGACATCTCCGGGCGCCGCAGCCTTCTCGGAGCGTTCCGGAACGCTCTGAGAGCGTTCTGCAGCGCTCTGGAGCGGATTGATCCTCGTCCTAGCCCCGCCCGAAAGGGCCCTCGACCCCTTGTCAGGGGCTGGCTTCTCTGCCAGGACCGTCTTCCGGTGGCCCTTGGGGCACCGAGCAGCCCCTGGCCTACGAGATGGAGGGAACAAGCCAGGATCACAAGGCGATGAGATGGGATGAGAACGGTCGCGGAGCGAGTCGACATGAAACGAACGCTGCCTCTGAGCGCCATGAGAACCAAAAGCGAGATGAACCCCAAGACCACCACTACAATCAGCGTCGTACATGGAAGGCGAAGCCACGACACATAACCCGAAACTGCCACAGACCCCCGCAGACAAGAACAACAGGACGCACCAGAAACGTAGAAAAGACTCTCACACTACACTATTGCAGAGTATACCCCGGGTCGCGAGGAGGGAGGAGCGGTCTCTCGAGGTTCCCCAGAGGCTCTGCACAAAGAATGAGCACACGCGAGCACATACGCGTACACCCACCCACCCACCCACCCACACACACACACACACAAGCACACACACACACACACGCACCGACCTCGATCTTCGATCCTCGAACCTCACCCTCATGGAAGGGAGGGAGTGCGAGGGGGAGGAGACCTCCAGAGGACAGTAACCACAAGACACGTACACAACTTCACATGTTCGATCCCCGAACCTCCTCCGCCAGGAGGGGAGGAGTTGGTCGGGCAGGAAACCTCCCGAGGACCAAGAAGGGCCGAAAGCATTCAAAATCACAGATCATACGCCCTCGATTCGCAACCTCCTCCTCCTCCCCCTCCTCGTCATCAGAATCAGCATCAGCATCAGCATCAGCATCAGCATCAGCAGCAGCAGCAGCATCAGCATCATCATCATCATCATCATCATCATCATCATCATCATCATCATCATCATCATCATCATCATCATCATCATCATCATCACCGTCACCATCATCATCAGCAGCAGCATCATCATCTCAGCATCATCAGCAGCATCATCAGCATCATCATCAGCAGCATCATCAGCATCATCATCATCATCATCATCATCACATCATCCTCATCATCACATCCATCATCATCATCATCATCTCATCATATCATCATCATCATCATCATCATCATCATCATCATCATCATCATCATCATCATCATCATCATCATCATCATCATCATCATCATCATCATCCTTGCCGAGGGAGAATGGACAAGATGCCCTGGACATCCGAGAGCGTCTGCAGTCGGTCCCCGAGTCCCCGCCGCCCTCGCCCGCCCCCTCCTGCGCGCCTCGGGCAGGGGGTGGAAAGAACGACTCGCGCTGAGCAGAAGAATGACGCCTGCGGGCCCGGGCCGGGCCTGAACCGAAACGCCGCAGGCGCGCGCACGCGCGCGGCGGACGCCGCGTGGCCGAGCTCCTGCTGCTCCTGCTCCTCCTCCCTACATCCTGCGTTCTCCTGCATCCTCCTGCATCCTCCTGCATCCTACTCCTGCTCATCCTTTTGCACCTCCTCCTCCTCCTCCTCCTCCTCCTCCTCGTCCTCCTCCCCCTCCTCGTCCTCCTCCTCCTCCTCCTCCTCATCCTCCATTCCTGTTCCTTATAAAACAAACTCCTCCCTGTCGCACCCCGAGGCCAGTCGGACGGGCGGTCCTGGCGTTTCGCTGGGGCGTTTCACAAAGGGAAGGCGGGCCGCTTCCAAAATATGACTCTCGCCTTAGCGCCGCGCACACTCGTCTTTACAA